TAGTCTACCTTCCACAATGATGACAAAATTGATGCTGCGACTGGCTATGCTAGAAAACCTGAAATCATCAGATTTTATAATCACACAAAATACGGCGTTCACATTTTTTATAAAATGTGTAGACAATACGAATTTTTCCCAACAGTCGCCGATGGCCCTTCACGCAGTTTTACAATTTTGTAAACATGACGGGCATAAATGGTCTGGTGATATATCAGATGAATAACGCTCAAATTAAAGTGATCCGTCGTCAATACCTCCTAGAGTCGGATTCGATCTTGCAATACCTTCTATTGAGCGTCGTATATCCCAACAAAATGTAGCCACAGGTATTAAACTGAAAGGCTACTTCTAGGATTGGCAGAACAACCCCTACAACAAAATATACCTATTCGGGGAGGAGTTGGTCGATGTGCTTTTTGCAGCAGGGCTCGCGACCGTAGCACGCGCAAGCAATGCAGCAAACTTATGAGGCGTATTTGTAGCGAACATCAGTCAGTCGTGTGTCCTGAACGTAAGCCAATAGACTGACTTATTACCCGTTACTTTGATTATAGGTTCAATTAGATTAAAATAAACGACTTTTATAATAAATATTCCATTCCTAAATGAAAATAAGACTAAGAGATCTCAACCCTTCTAAATATTTGTTAAATTTAAGAAGATTATATGTTTAAGTTTCAAATTATAATTAAAAATCAAAATTTATATTTTATGAGCGATTTTGATAAAAATAAAGATGTTTAGTAACTATATTAGTCTGAGAGCTGGCGACAAATTTTGGGAAGGTCCTTTTGGCAAGTTGAGATTGTGAAAACATATAATTTACTCAATTGGCGAATCATGTACCGCGAGTCTGGCAGAGCGTTTGCGGTTATTTCGTAACTGCGCAGTATATAACATTTGCAAAAAAAGTCCAAAAAAATTTAGTAGTATTACCAGACCTTTTCAAAAATATTTTATTAAAATTCTCAAAAAATATACTTTTGGCAATCTCAAATTTTAATCACGTATGTATTGAGTAATTTTATAATACCTGATAATCGCCAGACAAATTTAGCGGTTTTAAACAATTCCCAGAAGTGAATAAAGTTTACAAATGAATACGACAACAAAGTCTAGTGCGCAGCCACAAGTACTAGAAAGATAGTTTATCGATGCATGCCGGCAGCTAATGGGGGCCCAAGCTCCTCGCGCTGTGATTGGTTGTTGAGGAACCGCTTGTTTCCAGTATACTTCTAATATACTTAATTAATTAATTTTTCATAATTTCAACTTGCCAATAGGACCTTCCCAAAATTCGTCACCAGCTCTCAGACTATATGCTGTGTTTTACTCAATGTTTTGTCTCATTCAGAGAAATAATTGATCCCTAACTTGTCTACACTTGTAGCCCGCGCGTGCGTTTAAGGAGTATTTAAGGGCGTATTCACTCTAGTGTTAACATAAGTTAATGTTACGTAATAACTAGATAATCTAATAAAACTAAAACAAAGTCACTATATACACTGCTTATAACTTATTATAACGATTATCAAATCTAAAACTAAACATGTAAAATGATTGTTTTTACACTAATGCTTCAGTCTGAAAAAATACTGTACAATAAAAAACTTAAAATTAGGTTTAACACTTAATTGTTCGAATATCTTAAAAATAAACATTCAATATATTCTCTTCATTTGAAATAGAGTTTTGTTTTACTATTTCCATGAAAGAGTTCATTCTAAACCTTGAATGGGTTAACGCTTTTCCATAGGATACATATTGAAGTATACACAGAAATTATATGACTTAATATCTCTCTCCCTTTTCTACCAACGGACAACTGGACGCTGTACCCCTATCATCTATTTTGTTGTCATTGTTGACATGATAATGTCAAGTTTTGATTCATTCTTTGTATCGAGTTTAGTGAGGATGCCAGCGTCTGTATCTCCGGTCGAATAGAATTGTTAAGCTAAGCCAACACTAGCTTTGTAGAAAGTAACAGTTTTTAAACAAGTACATTATAATGTGTATATAAATTTATTTCTTCGTTGTACTATTTCAAGGTATTTTATTAAATGCCGATGCGCCCCAGTTTCAGACGGGTGATTCCTGGATCTCGACAACAGCACTACCTACCGGGTCTAATTGTGAATCTAAACGATCCAGGGACACACTCACACAAAAACAAATCATCAAAATCGGTCTAGCCGTTTAGGAGGAGTACAGTGATAAACACAAGTACAAAATAAATATACAGGGATATTTTGCAATAACAGGCCAAATTTGCAGAGAAGGTTCAGAATAAGTAATAATATAAATATAGAGCACGCTTGTATGTTACTAGGTAGTGTGCACATTTATAGCACGCTCTCCGAGTGTGCACACTTGCCCATGAAAGCACAGACCTCAGAAGCACATTTATTACGAGCATACTTCTTTCTAGCACGTCTGAGATACACATTTTTTTTTTCGAAATTTTGTTCTTGTATTGTGCTAAGCGTACATTCCATAAACATTCAAAATTTCGATAGAGAAATATAAAATTAAAATTTTGTCATCCGCTCCATCGAGCCATCGTGACTACACAAACAAATCAAGTAGCATGCTCGCATAGAACACGTTCAAACTTGCTTTGGAGCCAGCCCCCTCTCACCTGCGCATTACACCGTGTGCTGGTTAGCACAAAAAAATAGACCGGCTTGCGATTATATAGTCGTGCTCTTTTCGTATACACGTGCTAATTTTATGCTACTACATAAGTAGCATCTGCTCGAAACTAGCATGCTTATGTGCTACGTAGAATGTGTATTCCTGGCTTTAGTGTAAAACATATTTTAGAAAAACGTGCTCGCTTATGAATAAGGCTATTAGACCGTTCGGCAATTTACGTTGTGAATAAACGGTTATTTAATATTTGGTGTGTTCGTTATTCAAATCCCCACAAGAGAAACGGATTCCATTTTGAGTTACCAAAATTAGATATTGAGACTACTTGTTTATTTAGTTGTAAATAGTTTATTCCAATTTTTTAATAAGGACAATCGTCGGTTACGTCGTTGATAAGCAAAAATTATATTTTTTAATTTTATTTATTATGACGATCCTAAACTCGTTAAGAATGTAAAAGGAAAATTGGAATCATAATTTGCATCATGTGTAGTTAAGAGGCCGTTAGCGTATAAGCAGGCTAATCTACATTTTTTTGTATTCTTACTTAACCGATTCGTTGCGGCACCAATTTTCGACAACTTTTAGCTGTGGCGGCGAACAAATTATTTCAAGACACGCCGGGCGTGTCATAATAAGTAAATTGTTTTTTTAATAATAGAATAGTAAGTTTCAATTTACAGTAACACATTTGTTTCAATTTTTGCCTAACCTTGTAATCGATATTACAAAAGGTTTCTTAAAGTATATACAAAATGGCCTAACCCACAAAAATAACATTAAAAACTGTTTTTTCTCCTCTAACAACCATAGGCAATTGACTAAAATTATCAAAAAATCAATAAAATATAATTTGTTTTTTAATTACAATCATAACTGAGTTTTGAATACATGTCAATTAATGAATATATAATTTCGCCATACTAATTGTCTCAGGTTTAGGCCATTTTTTCACTAACGGCCTCTTATTATTGTAAGCATTAATAGTAAGCGTGTCACTAAGAAAGTAAACAGTAGCAATAAAAACTTGAGCAACGAAAACGTGAATTGAATCACACACACACACACACACACACACACACACACAGGAACGCGCGTAAGAGTAGTTGTTGCCCATTAATCACATTCAATTTGGGTTAATTTTAAATAAAAGTAGAAGCCTTATTTACTCGTATTTACAAAAAATGTTACATCGGTATATAATAATGTATTTATTTGAACTTCAATATAAAATTTGGCTACTCTTTGAAAAATAACCCTGTATATAAAGACTACCTTTCAGCTATCCGGGGATCTTTGTAAATTTATTATTAAAAGTGCAGTAAGGTTATAGTTCTTGCATTTCACGAAATCGAGCAGGGTACGTGGTTGTGTAATGTGTACATGCACACTGCGATAGTGCTGTCGCTAACCATACGCACTTTTGGTCTCACGCACACTTTGACACGTATACGGATACGTGTTTACCACAAGTAAAGCCGAGCGGACTTCGTGAATTGCAAGTCCAACGTCCCACGGCTGGCCTTTAGCTTTCTCTTTCTGAGAGCGTTTTATGTAAAGGAGTATCCTCCTCGCTGCTCCAATACGATGCTGACTTCACACATCTTCGAAATAATATTTTTTTAATTTCTCAGACATGCAAGATTCTTCACGATGTTGTCCTTTACCGCCGCTGGGCAAGTGGAAATCAGCACTTAAAATTTGAAATAAATGCGGGGATCGAACTCGGGTTGTTCGCGTACCGTGAAATTTACAGCGAACGATTAGTAACCGAGCTTCCATGTTTTTTTTTATACGTAATGTATAATGTCCTTCACACTGAATTTCGGTCACGGCGGCCAGCCTCAACGGAGACTAGCCATCAGCGCAGGACAGGATTATAGTGCCCAAGTGTATGTGCAAACACAGGTGCACTCTCTATTCCCTCACTCTCATAGTCCGATCCGACACGATCGGAGAGAGATCAGGCGCAGGAACAACGGCTTTACTTGAGACACCGCTAACTTCCTGACTCTGGAGAATTTCTTGACCGAAAAACTCAATAACTTATAATTATTTTGGCCTCACGAACCGCAGTCGCGTTTACGATCATTAGACCAACGAGGAGTAAATTTATATATAATATTCATATTAAATACGTTAGTTTTTAAATTACCTGTTATGTGAGATATTGGTCAAGAAAAGAATAATTATATCAATAATAAGCTAAAATTTTTAACCCATTTAGTGGAGCAAGTCTATAACAAGGCAAGATGTTGCCATTTGTAACATCTGTAAAGGCATGATAAATGCAATAAATACTTGGTCAAAGTTAAAACTTCGTCAGTAATAACTGAAACGATTCAAGCATTGTTATGGTCAGATATAGCGGTTAAAACTTTATTAACACAAGACTTCAAATCTTCACTGAAATCTTTTCTGGTATCCACAAACTTCTGCAACGCGTCCTGCACCTTAGCCTCTTTATAATCCGATGCCAGCTGATTGTTCTTACATGTTATTTCAAGGAAAGCTATCAAGTTCTCAGCGACCTCTATCGGCATTTTAGCGCAATTCGTCTCAATCAAAACGGACAAGTGCTTACCGATTTCCGACTTTATCATCTGCGTCACAAAGCTCTGTTCGCAGTCAAAATCTGAATCTTCTTTCTTGTGGAGTGATTCAATCGCCATCAGGGTCAAGGCGAGTATGGCTTCATTCTGCATAACAGAGTGGGAAGATACTAGCATACCAACTAAGCTAGATACGCAACCCTCCACCTGTAATTAATATGAAAAAATATCAATAAAACGGTTTTAATGGCCTTGGAATTTTTTATATTTTGTCACATGAAGACAGCATTAGAAAATTTTTCATAAATTTTTTTAGTTGCGAGCGCATCCATGGAAATAATTACTATGAAATATCTACCTTAAACACCTTATAGCCATGCTCATGAAAAAGTTCATAACTTAAATATAAATTTTGAAAGTAATAAGTACAATTTGTCATTGTTAAACTATAACATTGATCAAGTATAAACTAAATTTATTGTTCTATATTTTTTATTTGGTCAGATTAAAAACAATCGTACAAGTCAGTTTTTTACTAATTATATAAATATATGGAGAGGGTAATGTTCGGGGTGCCTCTGCGTGATAAACTTAGAAATGAGGATATCCGCAGTAGAACCAGAGTGACCGATCGCTATTGTTTTTGTAGTCAGAGTTTCTCAAACTTTATCTTATCCAACATGTTTATGTGTCACCGTGAAGCCAGGGATGGTGTGCAGTGTACGATGTGCCTCAACCGTTTCGATTTCCCATGTGCAGGAATAACAGAGGCAAGATAACGCAAACTTGGGGACAGAAAGGCTACTTAGAAATGTAACCCGGTAGGCGAAGTGTAAGGTAACAATCCACTAGATCAGTGATGCACAGACTTATTAAGACTAGGGGCCACTCGAGCAAATTATGGACTGATGGCGGGCCGCCAGAAGTATAGGTAATTAAAGACAATAAAGAATTGATAATAATGTATTAAAATTGAAAAAGAATTTATTAATTTGAAGCGTGGCACTGCATAGTGCTTACAATCTTTTTTATATTTGGCTCAAATTTACTTGTAGCAACACGTAAAACTGCTTCCAAACTTTCATTTGCAAGGCGGTTTAGATTTTTTGTTTTATTATTATTTAGTATTGAAAAGGTTTGTTCACATATATAGGTAGAACCAAATAAGCTGGCACATTTCAGAGCGTTTATGCGCAACTCTTTGTACGTATTTTTATCAATGCAGCGGTAAAAGTTCAGCAAGTCTCCTTCGTTGAATTTGTTGCGTAAATCTTGGTCGTTTTGAATGTCGATAATTTCTAACTGCATTGACTCTGGCGCATTTTCAACTGAAATCGTGAAAGGATTGGTGAATATGTCCAATAGAGGTTTCACTTTTTTAAACTCCGAAAATCTGTCTTGAAGAGATTGAATTAAAATATCTAGCTTTTCTACATAACTGAAATTAATCGCAGTTTTGTTGAATTTTTCAGCCATTTTCTTATAATTCGGAAAATGATTGTAATTTCCTAAATTCAATTGCGATCTGAAAAGTGTCAGCTTGCATTGAAAGGATGATACATGAGCGTAGAGCTGGGATATCAGTTGATTTTTGCCTTGAAGCCGTGTGTTCAAGACATTCAAATGATTTGTAATATCAACTAAAAAAGCCAAATCACACAACCAATCAGGATTTTTAAGTTCCGGGACATCCCTTTGCTTTTCCGCCAGAAATATTCCAATTTCTTCTATTAAATTTAGAAATCGTTCCAGTGTCAATCCACGACTTAGCCACCTTACTTCTGTATAATACAGTAAATCTCCATATTCGCTTTCGATGTCATCAAGGAATTGTTTGAATTGCCTGTGATTGAGTCCTCGTGATTTTATGAAATTTAGTCGAAACTACCACTTTCATGACATTTTGAAATTCAATTTTTTTAGAACAGAGGGCTTCTTGGTGTATAATGCAGTGAAACTGCATGAGATCTTCAGCGTTTATGTTTTTTTCTTGCAGATGCTTTTTCAGCAAAGTAACTAGCCCAGAATTGACACCAATCATCGAAGGAGCACCGTCAGTCGCAACTCCCGATAATTTTGATAAGTCCAAATCAGTTTTTGAACACTCATCCAAAAGTACATTGAGTATATTAACTCCTCTGGTTTGACCTTTCAATGAACACATTCCTAATAACTCTTCTAAGACTTCAAAATCTTGAGTAACACCTCGTATGAATATTAGAAGTTGAGCTGTGGAACTAATATCAGTGGATTCGTCGAGTGCTAATGAAAAAAATTCAATGATCTTAGTTTTTTCATTTAATTGTTCTGCAATATTACCTGACAAAGACATAATTTGTCTTTGGATAGTCATACGATTCAGTTGAATTTTTTCAAACTTTTTTGCTGCTTATGGACACATTTTCTTAGCGGCAATTTCTATGCATTCTTTGACAAAATCCCCATCATTGAAGGGGCGACTTCGCTTTGCTATCATTCGAGAAATTTCATAACTAACTTCTGTAGCTGTTTCTGAATCTTGAATGGGTTTTGTAAACAGAGCTTGCTGACCAATAAGCTCCCGTTTTAAAGACAACATTTTTTGCTTTCTTAATTCGCCTGTAAACTTGGTAAAAGTAGGATGCTGCGTTCATAGTGCCTTTTTACATTATATTCCTTTGCAATCACAACAGAATTGTTGCAAATTAAACAAACGACTTTGTTATGCGACCATACAAAAAAGTATTTCACAGTCCAAATTTCTTGAAACCACCGATTTTCATCTTTAACCTTACGTTATATACTAGGTCCTGGCTTGTCCATGTTGCGTTCTAATCCTGGCTAGGATTAACACAGCACCTAAAACCTCCTGGTGTTGGTTGGGTAAATAGGTAGGGAAACACTTATTAATAACAGAGTTTTACTTACGATTTCACAACACAATTATACACGGCACTTGACGTGAAATCTACGTTGAATGTGGATCAAAATATATGACACCGGCTAGTCGAGTTAAAATCTACACTAGAACTATTGACACTTCACTCAAATAAAAACCGAACTGACTGTCGCTGCGGTTAGCGTGGCTTTTATAACGCGCATATAGAGTCGAAAACTGTCTGGAGAAATCACGAAACCGACTCTGGAAGCTTCGTGTATCTACCTACGCGAGCAATCGGGAATTCGGGACTATTGCTACCTCGCTCTAACAATATAACCCGTGGATAAGCCGCAACCGCGCTGCCGTTGTCGCCGCGCCGCCGGCCGCGGCGGTTCCTCAAGAAAACGAATTTAACCGAGATCAGCACGAACATTACCGACCGCTGTTACCGCCGCATGCACGGCGCACCGATAAGCGCACTTAAGAGCGCGCGCGCGAGATTCAAATTACTTTTCGAACATATTTTTTTTTTGGTTTTATTCTGGAATATAATCCAATATTTTTCGAATGTACGAGAGTATTATTTTTGCTGTCGGGGGGCCACCAGTATTCAACCGGCGGGCCGCATGCGGCCCGCGGGCCGCGGTCTGTGCATCTACGCACTAGATGGAGTGACGTAAATCAAAACCAAATCAAATCATTTATTTCGCTAAAAACATGGGTACAGACGGATGGATACAGAGTCAATATTTGTTTCCACATATTTTGTCATTTGAGGCATGCGAGAAAAAAAAATTTTTTTTAAATATAAATGTGTTCAGAACAAATGAACTAACATTAGAAATATACACATAATATTCCAGTATGTAACTCGCACTTTGTAATGATTACATTTGTTTTTAGAAGAACATAACAAAATTCGAAAAATAACCTTTAATTCAATTGAGAAATATCACGCAAAATCCTGGATCTATAGTAACTTACTTAGCTAAACAAAATCAACAAAAAAGAAATCAAAAGCAAAATCAAAATTTATAGTTAAAGAATTCTTTGATGTTATAAAAGCCAGTATTTATTAGCCACTGCTTTAAACCTTTTTTCATTCGCGTTAATGGCTGTTCACGAATATTTTTAGGAACTTTATTATATATCTTGATACACATTACGAGACAATTCCTGTGGAATAATGCAGTTCTACAAGGTGGCATCAGTAGACGTGTCGGATCTCTTTTTGGAAATTTATTATTTTCCTGCACGGTAACAAATTGATTTGTATTATTTTTTTTACAAAAACGCAGATTTCTAATATATATAACCCAGTTAAAGTGAGAATATTTTTTTCCTTAAACAGGGGTCTACAGCTCTGTAGAGGGCCTACGTTACACAGTGCACGAATACATTTCTTCTGGCTTAGAAAGGCTCTGTTTGCGTCTGTTGAGTTGCCCCACAAGATTAATCCATATCTTAAGAGGGATTCAACGTACCCGTAGTAAGCAACACGCGCTGCTTGCGGACCTGCTACATTTTGAAGTCTACGTAGTGCATAAACAAATTGATTAATTTTTTTGCATACCTTATTAATGTGTAATTTCCAGTTGACATGCTGGTCAATAGCAACACCTAGGAATTGTGTATCTTCTACTTCTACCAATCTTTCACCCATATATGTTAAGTCTAATTTTTGTGGTTTAGTTTTATAATTTCCAAATTGAATATATTTAGTTTTGTTAGTGTTGACTTGTAAATTATTATCTTCTAGCCATGATATAATTGATTTTATAGTGGAATTTATCTCTTGTTCATATATCTGTGAATTATTAGTGTGGGGTATAAACAATCATCAGCAAATAGTATGGACTGATGCTTTGTTATACTCGGTAAGTCATTTATATATAGAATGAACAATAAAGGCCCTAAAACACTCCCTTGAGGTACCCCATAGTCATTTTGTAGATAAGGAGATCTGTAATATGTTAACTCTAGATTATTATTAATACGTGGTACTTCAACACATTGTTGCCGATTTGTCAAATAGATCTTCCACGCTCCGGAGGCAGGTTTCATCAAAGTACAGACGACCTAACGCTTTATTTATACTATTAGGGTGACAAACGAGCACACAGTTTACCTGATGGTAAGTGGTTGCTGTGGCCCATATACACCTACATCTATCCTCGATTACGAATCAAAATGCAGATGCGTTGTCACCCGTGAGGACTAATATGGAATGCCTCGTTTCCAGTAAAAAAGGGTCTTTTGCGGACACAAGACTTCACTAATTTGATTATATCTTATAAAGTATTTATATGCAGCGCGGTTGCTTCCCCTTCAATTGACCGATTTGCGTGACAGTTCGCAGCGATGTATATACATATTAGGCGTGCGGGTGAAGACACGACCGCCCGAAATATAGGAACTTAAAGGAGGGTAAATTTAGAAAAAAATCATTATATAAAACTACTCGTTTGTCACCCTAATACTATAAATAAAAAAAAGGGAGGAAGAAGCGTTAGGTCGTCTGTACTTTGGTGAAACCTGCCTCCGGAGCGTGGAAGATCTACGAGGGCGGCGGTGACAATGTAGGCGTGCAATTTAACGAACGCTCTTTCTCTCAACCAGCATCCTTTTACAGTCCAGGATCGAAGACCACAAGCTTCGCTAGTTAAACTCCCTCTCTCTCCAAACCACCTGGTAAGCTTAAAATGCTTGTGTTGGGGTTACTTTGCAATAACCGGCCAAATTTGCAGAGAAGATTTAGAATAAGAAATATAGGCAAATGGTGAAGGCAATTAAAAATCTCAATCACTCTATTCTTTTCATCATTTAAATTCAAATTTGAGAGCATACAGTCCTCAGTTACAGTCAACAGTCAGTAAGTGGTTATTGTGCCCATAGACATCGACATTTATTCTCGCTTGCGAATCAAAATGAAGATACCTTGTCACTTGTGAGGACTAAGATGGAATGCCTCGTTTCCAGTAAAAGGGGTTTCCGGTTCTCTACATTCACCATACGAAATACAGCAGAATTAAGCTGCTATTTTACGCTGGTATTCTGTTAGAGCGTGCTCCTTCCCCGTTCGAGCCGATCCATTCGTGCTACAACTATAGAATTAAAATAGTTGCAGCATGGCTCGACCACGTTCATGCGTTATAATATTTATTTTAACTGATTATCATTCATAAATATCTATTTTATTCGCCCCCCGCGGCTGCAGACTCCCCTCCCCACAGCTAGCAGGCGCCCTCCCGCAGCACAGAACTCGCAGGCGCAGCGCGCGCGCGAGCAGGCGCGGCGCCTCGCCCCCGCGGCACAGCACTCCCCCCGCCCCGCCCCGCCCCGCCCCGCCCCGCACGCACCTGCAGCAGGCGCGCGCGCCGCGCGGCGGGCAGCTGGCGCAGCGCGCGCGCGAGCAGGCGCGGCGCCTCGCCCCCGCGGCACAGCACTCCCCCCGCCCCGCCCCGCCCCGCCCCGCCCCGCACGCACCTGCAGCAGGCGCGCGCGCCGCGCGGCGGGCAGCTGGCGCAGCGCGCGCGCGAGCAGGCGCGGCGCCTCGCCCCCGCGGCACAGCACTCCCCCCGCCCCGCCCCGCCCCGCCCCGCCCCGCACGCACCTGCAGCAGGCGCGCGCGCCGCGCGGCGGGCAGCTGGCGCAGCGCGCGCGCGAGCAGGCGCGGCGCCTCGCCCCCGCGGCACAGCACTCCCCCCGCCCCGCCCCGCCCCGCCCCGCCCCGCACGCACCTGCAGCAGGCGCGCGCGCCGCGCGGCGGGCAGCTGGCGCAGCGCGCGCGCGAGCAGGCGCGGCGCCTCGCCCCCGCGGCACAGCACTCCCCCCGCCCCGCCCCGCCCCGCCCCGCCCCGCACGCACCTGCAGCAGGCGCGCGCGCCGCGCGGCGGGCAGCTGGCGCAGCGCGCGCGCGAGCAGGCGCGGCGCCTCGCCCCCCGCGCCCGCGTGTCCGGCGCGCGCCCAGCGCCCGACCGCGCCCAGCGCCGCCGCGTCCTCCGCCAGCTGCCGAGCCACGCCCTCTGCCCACCACAAATTACTTGACGCAACATACAAACTAACAACCGCCACTTACAAACTAACAAGCTTAGCCAATCCAGGACTTAAAACATTCATAATTCTTCGTGATTGCAATAAGTGTATCAATTAAGACAATAATCACCCGAGATGTTAAAAATCCTGAACTTTAACATCTCGAAAGCAAACTCAAAGTAACCTTCGAATATTTCTTTTGTAAAATAAGAGTGACAAACGAGCACACAGTCCACTTCATATAAAATGCAGTGGTCCATAGACATCTACATCTATTCTCAATCGAAATGCAGATGTGTTGTGACACCTCTGAGTACTAAAATGAAATGCTTCGTTATCAGTAAAAAGTTTTTAGTGAACACAAACGCGGTTCTCCACACTCACCAAACGAAACACAGAAACTGCTTTTTAACGCTGGTATTCTGTAAGAACATGGTCCTTCCCCAGTCGATCCAACCATTCGTGACACAACCATAATATAGCTTCAGCATTGCTTTACCAAGTAAATATATGTATATAAAGACTAAACAAACAGAAGACGCCGGTTAAAGAAACCACTAAAGCTTAAGAACGAATTCCAAATGTTTTGAAGGCCTTAATAGAAAACTTTGATCAGCAGTACCCCACACATGTCAATCTCATTGATCTAAATACTGCTTTTTCTACAGATTTCAAAAAGGAACCCCTATTCAATTCGACTCTATGTTTTTTTTAAGTGTGTTACCTCATAACTTTTTACTGGGTGAACCGATTTCGATTATTCCTTTTTTATTTGAAAGCTGGTGCTTCACATATGGTTACATATAAATTTGATCAAAGTCTGACCAATAGTTTTTGAGTTATTCTTAATAATTTATATTGAAGTCTGTTGTACAAAATGTTTAATTTTAAATTATTATCTTTTAGGCTGCGGGCACATGAGTAAAGAAACCGACCAGAGGGGAAGCTACATACAAACGGCTCGCTGCGAGTACACCCATACATAGCGCAGCGATGTGTGCGTGAGCTCTCACCGACAGGTTCACCGACGATCCGTCGGGGTACAAACCGGTTTGCGCTGGCTCAGTCAGTGTCCATGAAAGGGCTGTTAGTCGTGCGCATTTAAATAAATAGACCAAAAATATTTCGATATTTTATACATCAATTAATTTATTAAGTATTTTTGCAATTATTAAATAATTAGATTAAAGTTTTGTAATAAGAATAATTAAGAATTAAGTTATTATAAATTTATATAGGTAAATAATAAGTTTTTTGTATAAGCAAAAATGCCTAATAGTTGTACAGTATGCATGAATAATTCTAGAGAAAATAAGGATATTTCCTTTTTTTTGTACCCGAGAGATCAAGTGAAGTAAGTACCTTTTTATGTATACAATAATACTAGGTAATAACATTGATAGGTAAGTGAGAATGTGTTAGAAAGGTGCGTCGCCGAGTGATGATGTCGGTCTCACCTACTTGAAACGTTAGTCAGTCTAACTTTGACAGTGCCGTAGATGGCAGAATATCCTACGTAATAAGGCTAAATGTGTGACTTTATCAACCCACATTAGTATAATAATAATAATAGTGTGCCAACTCTGGATAATAGGGGACCTCCAGTTTTACTTACCCTTGCCGCAGTGAACGCAGAGCTCTGCTGCGGTCCGACTCTGTAAGTCTCTAGCTACTCGTGGGAATAATATGATTACTAGATCAAAAACAAAAAAACATGCTAACACTAATCTGCCTCAGATAGATGATGAAATTTCACATTGCAAATCATCATCTTCCTCATCTCTTTTTCCATCAATACCCTCATCATCACAATCATTTTGCATCAACCCAACGACATCATCATCGTCATTCAGTATACAGTCAGCGGATGTTGTACAGGAGACAAATTTTGTCGACGAAACTGTATCCACCACTAGCACTGCAACAACTCGTAGGAAATGGAGTATTGAAATGAATAAATTCATCCTACGCACTTATCTTCACCTTACTAATATGGATACAGACAAAAATGCATACCTTACACCTCTTCACACTAAGTTTTTAGAAAAATACCCAACTATGCAAGTAAGCCGACAAAGAATAGGTGACCAGCGTAGAGCCATAGTTAAAAAAAAAATTACTGCCACAGAACATAATAGATCAGATTTATGAGGAAGTTAGAGCCGAACTACAAGTGGTTCACACTCAAATACAGCAACACTTCACACAATATGAAACACCAAATAAAATAAAACCCAGTCAGCGCATGAAGTGGACGAACGAATATAATGAAGCATTAATTAAAATATATTATACTGTCACACAATTAGAAACAAATAAGACAGCCTATAGAAAACATCTACATGAAGAATTTATAAACACATATCCAGAATTAGCACATGTAACAGAGCAAAGATTATCTGATCAAACAAGAGCTATTATTAATAACAAATATATTAACAGCAACAGACTAGAAGAAATCAAAAACCAGGTAACAACAGAATTAAGGAATAGTAACACTAACACACAAAATACTGAATACATATTGAAGATTGGAACGCACAACCACAAAACAACTTAGAACAACCTGATGAATACATCCATACACTAAACACTCCACATACAATAACTTACACCTCTAACACACCTACAAACACCTCGGCTTCAAAAATACCCCTCAACGATAACACACACAGACTAACATCGTATCGCACAGTATCTTGAATACAAATGGTGAAAATATCTTAAGTAACACATATATTGATCAATTTGGGCCTCTGCAAACTAACTTTAATGCTGCTCCAGAAGTAAACTCGGAAATAGAAGACATGTTTCTACAAGCTCAACAATATTTTTCAGATACACACCCCACTAACAGGCCATACATTCCCAAGCAGAAATCGTCTAGAAAGTTCATTGCTATAGTAAGTTATATAAACTCTGTCATTCTTCCTAAGAACGTAAATCTACACACCGATTTCATCACATTGCAAACAAAAATTTATTGTGCGGCATGGACGGCAGCTAAATGCAATAGGGCTAAAATATCACACACCACACAAAATGAAAGACGAGCATATACAAAGAAAAAACCAACATGGCAGGTCAGATTAGAAAGGAAAATCGAAAATTTAAGAGCACACATAGGCAGACTGACACACTTCATTAACGGTAGCAGAAGTAAAAAAAGTAGTAGCTGCAGTAGAAGAAATAAAGAGAAAATACCAAATACACGCACAACACGAAAACTCGAATACAGAACTAGAACACTTTTTGGACACTTAACAAAAATTAAATGCAGCATCCAGTAGACTTAAAAGATATATAACATGCACAAACCGCAAAGTGCAAAACACAAAATTTACCAACAATGAAAAATTATTTTACAGAAACCTTATATCTAATAACAGAGATACCAGCAACCAAAATCTGGAGACACCTTCGTCTTACACATTGCGAGAGAACTGGACCAACATCTGGGAAAATCCAGTATCGCATAATAATCACGCAGACTGGATTAACGAGGCAACACCAGAAATCCCAGAAATGAAATTTGAATTTATACCAATAAATACATTTATAGAAGTCCTCAAACGCACACACAACTGGAAATCACCAGGCACAGACAATATTCACAACTACTGGTATAAGAAATTCACCAGCATACATCCATTCATACATAACCACTTAAACACATTCATCCAATCACCACATTTACTTCCAACATACATAACGCACGGAGTAACATATATGATACCCAAAGACATGAATGACACCGTAAACCCAGCGAAATACCGACCAATTACTTGTCTACAAACCTTGTACAAAATATTAACAGCCTGCGTAAGCGAAATAGTATATGAACATTTAACTAAAAATAATATTCTAGCAGAATAACAAAAGGGATGTCGTAAGAATAGCCAAGGATGTAAAGAACAACTTACTATTGATGCAATTATTTTGAACAGCACTGTTAAAAACAAGAAAGATATTCACACAATGTTTATCGATTACCAAAAGGCTTTCGATTCAGTACCGCATAGCTGGTTATTAGATGTCTTAAATCTATATAAAATTCACCCAACACTGAAACTTTTCTTAAAAACTTCTATGCAAAATTGGCAAACTGTGCTTAAAATTAATCAATCCTCTTTGAGTGTAACTACTGAACCAATCTGTATAAAACGTGGTATATTTCAAGGAGATGCCCTAAGTCCTCTGTGGTTTTGCATGGCCCTCAATCCACTTTCACACTTACTAAATAATACTGACATGGGATTTACATTGAAAAACAATAACACGCAATATACTCTAACACACCTTATGTACATGGATGACATAAAGTTATATGCAGCAGACAAAAATACACTATTCCAACTAGCAGACACAACACAACAATTTTCTCAAGATATTTGTATGTCATTCAGAGTAGATAAATGCAAAATATTGTCTATTATAAAAGGCAAGATTCAAAGCAATAGTTACACACTCAATTCAGGTGAATCAATTAAACCAATGGATGAACACAGTACATACACATACTTAGGTTTTAAACAGTCCAGACGCATTCAACAAAATATTACAAAACAAGAACTGCTCAAAAAATTCTCACATCGCCTCAACCTTATTTTAAAAACCAACCTCAACTCCAGAAACACTATTAAAGCCATCAACACATTTGCAATAGCTATTATCATATACTCTTTCGGAATTATACGATGGTCAAAAACTGACATCAAAAAACTACAACGCACACTCAATACACTTTTAACTAAACACAGAAAACATCATCCAAAATCATGCATACAGAGACTTACACTACCACGCCAAGAAGGGGGAAGAGGATTGATAGATATACACAATTTACACAACAAACAAATACTTTCGCTCAGAGCGTACTTCCATAACAAATCAGAACACTCATCTTTACACAAACACATAACGGAAACAGATAAAAAACTTACACCACTTAACTTACAGAACAGAGACACGCAAATTAATGAACACATTATAGGAACACATCAAAAGATTGCAGCATGGTCTGGGAAAGCCCTACATGGAAGACATCGAGCCTATCTGAGCCAGCTGCACGTCGATAAAATTAAGACGAATGGCTCAAACGAGGTGAACTGTTTCCCGAGACCGAGGGTTTTATGCTTGCTATACAGGATCAAATAGTACCAACTCGTAATTACATAAAATACATCATAAAAGACTACAACCAAACTACTGACATGTGTAGACATTGCAACAATTCCTCCGAAACTATACAACATATTACAGGAGCATGTAAATCACTTACACAAACCGATTATAAACATCGTCATGACCAAGTTGCTGCAATCATACACCAACATTTAGCATATAAATATAAATTAGTAGATAAGATGCAGCCATATTATAAGTATAAACCTGATACAGTATTAAAAAGTAAGAATCAGAACATCTACTGGGACCGAACAATAATAACAGATAAAACTATTCATTACAATAGACCTGATATTACAGTTCACGACAAAACTAATAAAACAGTTTACCTGATAGATATAGCAATACCAAACTCACATAATATTCAAACTACAATATCCGAGAAACTTAGTAAATATCAAGAACTTGTCATAGAAATTAAAACTCAATGGAAAGCACAAAATGTTCACATCGTCCCGATAGTTCTCTCATCCACCGGTATTATACCAAAATCACTGACACAAAGCCTTAACACACTACATATGCCTACTCATACACTTCACATGCTTCAAAAAGCCACCATCCTCAACACCTGTCGCATCACCCGAAAGTTTCTGACTTCTTCTACTTTATCATCCACTTTTACAATTTAAATTTACCCTCAAACACTTGGTTCCGACCCGTGTGTGCGGTGTTTCAAACTCTCAAAGAAGAGAAGAAATATAAAGAATTGATATAATAATAATAATAATAATTTATTTGATACAGACAACACAGATCCATTACAAAATTAAAATTAATTTTAATAGAGGTAGGTTGCTTCCTGGGGTAGGATATAAGTTACTTTTTGCGAGTCGCGACCGCAGGGGTAAAAACCACTGCATTATGGTTGGAATACAATTGCCAGGGATTGGTGTTGGTGGAAGTGGTGCTGGTGTTGGTGGATAGTGTTGGTGTTGGTGGATAGTGTTACTGATGGTGTCAATGGTGGTGGAGGTGGTAGTATCGTAGGTAATGGTAGTAGGCAGTGGACCAACAGTGACTTCATCAACACCACCACCATCACCACCATTACTATCACCACCACCGCCACTGACCACGACCACCATCACAGCCACAACTACTACCACCACCACCACCACCACCACCACTTACACCAAAACTCTTGATTTCGAACAATTAATAAATATGTTGTTACATTAATATAAGTTATAATTAATACACATGATGTCTTATGCTATACAATATTTTTATTTTTTCCTTAAAATTTTCACATGCATCAGGTGACAACCCTATCAGAATAGGTATAGATTTTCGACGTTGTTAGGAAGCTTCCCCTCTGGTCCTCTTTACTCTGTGCTGCGGGCACGAAATTAGCGACGGTCGAGCGATGGCGGTTGCGGGGCGGTGCAATGCGACAGCGACGTAATCAAAAGCATAGTTTAATATAGTGACGCGCAGAAAACAAGCGAGAGGGTTGCGGGGCGATCGAGCGATAAGCGAGCGGTGGAAGGCGGATGGCGACAGGAAAAAACTATTTCGATTTCACCGCTTGCTCGAGTATATAGGATTGCATATTGATTTATAATTTTATTAATGGAAGTTAATAACGATTTCCAACGATAACAGATTCCAAATTGCATCTAATTTTTCTCTAAATTATTATAACCAAATGTGTCTATAGTTACTCATTCTCATTCTCGTATAGTTATAAAATTTCTTTGAATGACACCTTAATTCATAATAAAGGGTAGAAAATTCGCCCAAACTACTTTTTCAATCAATGATGCAAATACAATGTCAATGCAGTGGCATAGAAAAGGCACACCCCTTCATAAGAAGTATATAAGGTGTGTCGATCGGCCGGAAAGATCATGGCAACGATCTTTTGGGATACAGAAGGTATCCTTTTGATTGATTATAAGGAACATGGTGTTTCCATAACGGGAGAATACTACGCTTCTTTACCAGAACAATTAAAAAAGCTATAAAAGATAAAAGGCGAGGAAAGCCATTGATCACTAATAAAAAAAAATAGATACACAATCCCATGCAAAAGTTCTCTAAAAACTGTCGCCAATTGTTTTGACGTAATTCTAGATATACATAAATGTAAATTCAACCTTAAATGCATTTCTTAAAGTTGTATTCACAAAGCTACGTACAAATTAACAGCGCACCGAAATGTTCGAGTGGGCGCTCATTCGGTAAGGACATTCCGCGAATTTTTTGACTTTCCCTCGTATATTGTTGTGTTATATATATTGTTAATTCAGCATATACCTGTGTACCAAACTTTAAACAAATTTAATCCTTATATTTGTTTATTTGTTTTTATTTATAGAATAAAGATGACAAACGCATCCAATGGTAATAAAATGTAGATTAAGAATTATGCTGACGAGCGTGGCGTACACGTAGCGGGTGCGTGTCGTCGGAACGCGGCCTTAATGTCCGACCGAAACTTATTTGGACATGTTATTATTATAATAGATAATGCATGTTAATGATATATAGTAATTGTTATTACAATACTAAAATAAAATAAAATATATTCCTACATGACTAATAAATATATTGCTACATGACTTTAACGTTAAGAAATACTTTTTTAAGTAAATTTTGTAAAAATTAACACTTACACCCATAAAACGTTACTCGCTAATTGAGAACATATTTTATTGTGTTAACAATATTGTTAAAGCTTATATATAATTATGACTAATACACGAGTCACGAACTCATTCGAACGACGCACGATAATCCACGAACATTTGAGTTTCAGCGTCGCCGAAGGTTCGGCAGATTTTTTGCCGATACCGAAACTATTACCGAAACTAGATTTTTTGCCGAAACATGCCGAAACCGAAACCGAATCTTCGGTCGGTCACTATATAAGAATCAAAATGTAGATGCGTTGTCACCCCTGAGGACGAAGATGGAATGCCTCGTTTCCAGTAAAAAGGGTCACCAGTTCTCAACCCTCATCATATGAAACACAGCTGTATTGAGCTGTTATTTCACGCTGTATTTTATGCGTATTCTGTGAGAGCGTGGTCCTCTCCCAGTCGAGTCGACCCATAATATATGGTAATGTAATTAAGTAACGAACAATAAATAACAGCTGTATCTCCAAGATGTTCCTCAGAGTCAGAAAGCGAATTCAGTTGGCAAATGGACCTACAGGTTAATTAATATATTATATCAGTAAAATATTTTGCAAATTGTATGTATATATGTACCAACCTTGCCCGTCCACCAGCATTCGTAATGCAGCCAGCAATTTGTAAGCCACCTGATGATCTTCAATATTAGGCAACGCTTTCAACAGCATTGGTGTGGCTCGGCCTTTAGCCGCTGCAACTCTCTTGTTCATAACTGGCACTGTCAAGTTGCGTATAGCTGACAGGGCTGCGTGTTGAATTTTGTTCACAGTCACTATGTCAATAGGATGCACTGCATTTTGCTCCTTTTGAATGCGCAGGCAGAAGCCATGGTATACTTCAAAAATATCTAAAAGAGATTTCAAAATTACTGAGGTAATGCCATTTTACTTTTTGTACCCTTGTACACTTAAGTACAGCATTTTACATTTTGAGGTTATGTTTATTACAATGAAAAAATACATAAACAATGTGTCAACATCTTATTGTCTTTCATGTGTTAACCGTGTTAGTAATATTTTATCTCAGATTAATAACTGGGTGTTCTACAGGGGTCGATTATTGATCCATATCTATGTTATTAGTTAATTAATAATAATAATAATAATTTTTAATTTAATAATTATAACTTAATTTTAATATAGGATTTAAATAATATATTAATAATTATTTTTTTTATAGGAGAGGGGGCAAACGAGCATGCGGCTCACCTGATGGTAAGTCACTACCGCCGCCCATGAACAACTGCAACACCAGGGGAATTGCAGATGCGTTGCCGGCCTTTTAATAAGGAGTAGGCTCTTTTCATGAAGGTCCCTAAGTCGTATCGGTCCGAAAAAATCACTGGTGGTAATCCATTCCACAAGGAAGTTGTGCGAGGGAGAACACTTCTTCTAAACCGCACAGTGGTGGACCGCCAATCATTCAGATGATATGGATGGTATCACGAGTTTTGTCTCGATATGCGATGGTGAAAGTGACCGGCTGGAATTAGTCCGAACAATTCCTCAGAGCACTCCCCGTGATAGATGCGATAAAATACGCAAAGAGATGCAACATCTCTACGCAGTGTCAGTGAGTGAAGCCGATCGGAAAGAACTCGGTCGTCGACGATTCGAAACGCTCTGCGCTGGATGCGGTCAAGTGAAAGGAGCTGGCACTGGGGAGCCCCTTCCCGGATATGGGAACAGTATTCCATGTGAGGGCGAACCTGCATCTTGTAAAGTTGCAATCGGTGTGCCGGCATGAAATACTGTCCCGTTCTTCTGAGCACGCCAAGCTTTTGTAGAGGCCAATTTGGCCTTCTCTTCCAAGTGACCATGAAGCTGCACGTCACTTGATATGTCGACACCGAGAATTCCGATACTGGCTGAGGCAACAAGGGGAGTGCCTTGAAACTGAGGAGATACGACAAAGAGGTTCTATTAAGCGGTAAACGCGCAAACTTATGTCTTTTGGGAATTGAACTGGACTAGATTTAGTCGTCCCCAGTCTGAGACTTTGATCAACAAAGTCTCAACTTCAGACACAAGTTTGTTCTGGTACTAGGCGACGTTTACCCGAAAAATATTGGCACGGTCGATGTATAAAGCATCACCAGTGCTGTCGTCTGCATAGCAATGAATGTTACTGGTTTGCAACACATCATTGATATGCAGAAGAAATAGCGTTGGTGATAGAACGCAGCCTTGTGAAACACCAGCGTTAATGGGCTTGTAATCAGAGCATGCTATGACCTTGATGCTCCGACCTGCAAGAAAACGGGTGATCCAATGGCACAATTTCTCGGGAAGCCCATAGGAAGGAAGCTTCGAAAGAAGCGCTTTGTGCCAAACCCGATCGAAGGCATTCGCTATGTCCAAACTAAGCAAGCTGCAGATCGCAACTGTGATGGGAGCGTGAGTGGCACCGTACTCCGAATTAGACAATAGTCCGAAGAGCCCAGAGGGGCATCGACGGAGACCTGATATCCGTCCGGATGAGAGGTCAGCAGAAGGTCCAACAGGGAAGGTACATGATCTGGGATCCGCGTGGGCGAAGTAACTAGTTGTGTTAGACCATATGCCAAGGCAAAGTCATATACAGATCTACCCGCATAATCGGTTAAACGGGAGCCAAGCCATTCAGCGTGGTGGGCGTTAAAATCACCGAGTATCACTATCTCTGCGGATGGGACCTGTTGTAGTACGGAGTCTGCAGCCATTTGGACGTGGTCGATGAGTCGGTCTGTGTCGGCATTACCGCTATGGGACCTATAGAGCCACCCGTAGACACGGGGATGGTCGTCCCTGTCTATGTGCAGCCATAGGATGGACAGGTCCGTACCTTCAAGACTGCCGAGGCGTCGAAGACAGATGTCCTCTCTGACGTATACGCAAACTCCAGCCCGGGGCACAAAGGAGTGTTCAAAATTGTACCCCGGGTAGGAGAGATATGAAGTATCAGCCGGAGAGGTCACCTGAGTCTCGGTTAAAAAGAGCAAGGCCAGCTTCGCCGTCTCTAGATGGTAATGGACAGCGTTAAGGTTGGAATGAAGTCCCCTGATGTTGCAAAAATTCACGGATAGCGTGACAGGGGTCGCCTTGGTCTTATTGCTCCGCTTGCCCCGAACAGTATTAGTCGCGAGCGGAATTTTGCCCCCCCCCCCTCCCGAATACGCGGGGCAGCCTGAGCACCCACGCTCAGGAGTGGAGTAGTTTCTTTTCTACAGGGGTGCTGGTACCCTCCTGGGGTAGTCTTTTGTTTAATTCCGCTACCATGTTGATGGGGTGGGGATTGAGCCTTCGGCCACCAGCATTCATCAAGCGGAACGCAGAGGTAAACCTCTACTTCACGCTGGTATTCTGTGAGGTCGTGGTACCACCCCGGTTCGAGCCGGCCCATCCGTGCGACAGCAAAAGCTGCCGCGTGGCTCTACCACTGTTAATAGTAACAACATACATATCCTTTGTATTACTGAACATTGGCTAAAAGATTATAATTTTAAGTTTAATTTCAGAAATCACCAGGTGGTCAGTTCCTTCAATAGAGAAAAAAGTTTACGTGGTGGCTCCTTAATATTAGCAGATAAGTCATTATTACATAAAGAACGTAAGGATATAGTGAGCCTCTCTGTTGAGCGAACTGGTACAAGTCACGCTGTCTCATTCAACTGCAGCGATATGGCCGCACTTTACTCAGTCGCTCGCTAGGTGCTAGTGGGCACTAGTGAGTTAACACGTGCTGTGTTGATTATATGAAAAAAAATCTTGCTAAAATATGCGATGATGTGTTTTAGATATTGCACAAATAATTCAAGAAATGTTAGCAAATACCAATAACTTTTCATTTGTGAGTAAGATACTTAATTAATAAAAAGTATTATAGATTAATAACAAACAAATTATTCATAAAGTCATGGAATATAGATTATGAAATTAATTTGTTCAGATGCGACGTTTCTAGCGAGGTACTTAAGTGTGGGAAAAATTGTGCATATTATAATATTTTTTTAGAATAAAATAGAAGTATTCATAATTAGGCTAAATTGCTGATGTTTAAATTTGCTGATTGTTCTTTTATTTTATTTTTAGGTTTCCACGTCCAAGCCATGAAAACAGGGCAAATTGAAATAAATTCGTCCGTTTTTAATCTCACGTGCCAAGCATTTATGAACAACTCTTATTCTAATGTAAATAAATATATTTGTAAATTATAATATGTTATATCAATAAGTTTTGTTACATATAAATTTAATATGTTTTTTAAAATGTTTAAATACAAATATAATTATGATATAATATTATGTAATATTATATTAAATTAGCACATATTATATGCAAAATAAATGACAAATTTTAAAAATTGTACTTGATATAATTTACATAATTAACAATACAGCATTTATTTTGCATATTATTACATACTAATCATTCTGCCTACGCATAATCTATATCTATACAAATAAATAAAATTGATGTGTCTGTTTGTAATGTCAAAATTACAGCTCTTTACTAAATGCATATGAAAGTATATACGGTACTCATAACAAAAATACAATTTTTAAAGTTTTTGTCTGTCTGTTTGTTCCGGCTAATCTACGAAACGACTGGACCGATTTTGACGGGATTTTCACTGGCGGATAGCTGATGTCACAAGGAGTAACTTAGGCTACTTTTATTTTCGAAAGAGAATTAGGGTTCCACGCAAAAAAATTAAAACCCCAAAAAAACGCGGGCGGAGTCGCGGGGAACAGCTAGTCTATGATAAAAACCAACGCATGCGCCACAGTAATCTTCCCTGCGCATGCGCTAAACATGATTGTAGCGCACATTTTTTGATTGAAATAGCTGTTCTAGTATATAAGTACATATTACTTCAATGTTTAAAGGTAGTACATGCTTTGACAGGAGTAAACAAATCTTTATTGTTTATGTTGGTAGCATTCATAGTTTAGTTTAATATGTAGTAGCATCTAAATTTAGATGCCCAATTAGCTAATTGACACAAAAATAATTTAATATAATGCGTGTATGTGAGTGTGTATGGGTATATTGTATGTATATATATTTATTTATATGTTCACCTATATATATATTATCTTATTGAAGCATAAATATTTTCCTAGTTCTGCCAATACAAACTGTTTAACTTAAGTATTGTTTCTGATTAAAGTTTTTCTTATTTTTTTTTCTTACTTCTGATTCGTGCCAAATTGTGAAAAGTGGATGCCTATTATTGGCCCTATGTAAAGACATGTTATATAAAAATAATGTATCACAGAATTAAGGTTGTTGTTATCCCTAATAAAATAAAATAAAAAACATTAAGACAGGACTGTCAAAACTACTTGTCATATCTTTTTGATCAAAAATCCCAAGATTTCTACAGCAACGGGATTACGTCACTACCTACAAGATGGCAACAAGTTATTGAAGGCACACATTGTTACGCACATATATATTGTAATTAAAAGTATTTAAACTTTGAAAAAAATGTCATGAATTTGTATATAAAATACGAAGAAAGTTTTTCTACTATTATAAATATTATAAATCACATTAAGCCTTTCCCTGTCCCGTGAATCATATATGAACATTTCAATTATTTAACTATTGTATCTGTTTCGCGGACAGGGAAAATGTTAAGTTAACTTACCAAGTAATTTGTCAAATATGTTATCTTCCATCATCTGGATACAATATTCATCCTTCCGAGCAAAGTTGCCAATTGCCAAAACAGCAGTAGTCAGCAGGTTGTAGTTAGTATATTCCAGCCACTTCACCATGGTGAGGTAGACTTCACCAACACCATTGTTGTATAATGTGTCCATTGCTTCATCTAAAATATGTTTAAACTATATTTAAAAAAAGCTTTTAGGTAATGTGATATGATTCTGTTTATGTAATCCCACTCAGAGGATAAATAAAAAAATCATCCCACAAAAACCATTATAAAATATGATTAAATGGGGAAATTGATAGCAAACATGTGCAAAATGTCTAAAATACCGTCACCAACTACAATGTTGCCAGGTTATAGAAATTTGTTGAATTTGAAATAAATGATATAAAAACATCCATACTACATTTATGTAACAATAAGAAAAAATGTGAGCATAATATTAATAATGAGTACAAAAATTCATTAATAATATGATGGTTTAATTTTTAGGGTTCTGTACTCAAAGGGTAACCAACGGGATACTATAACTAAGCCTCCGCTGTCTATCCGTCCGTCTGTCAATCTGTCTGTCAGGGGGCTGTATCACATGATCCCTAATAGGTAGACAGAATAATAAAAATTAAATAAAAGCTTTTAGAAAAATTTGCTTCGCAAATATCCGCATTATAAAATAATATATGTCTTACCTAGTATGAAGAGCACCTCCCGCCTTCCCTCAATTGCGTGCACTATCCCCGTAAGTAAATAAGCGGTTAGCCACTGTAGAGTCTATATCACCTGAGGATGCCTCGTGTAGAGGTGAAACACGTGTCGTATTATCGTCAGTGATGTGTCTTGCCTAGTGTAGTGGTGTTGGGAGTAGCGGTGCTGGGATTAGTGGTGACGGGGATAGTGCACGCAATTGAGTGAAGGCGGGAGGTGCTCTTCATGCTAGGTAAGACACATCATTTTATTTTATAACGTGGATATTTGCGAAGCAAATTTTTCTCAAAGCTTTTCTATAATGGATTTCCACAAAGTACCGCCTCATTCTATTAATTATATAAAAATTAAAATAAATTAAAAATGAAAAGGTTCTCCCCTACTAGAAATGTGTGTTACAATGGTACGGAACCCTTCATGCATGAGTTTGCCTTGCACTTGGCCGTTTATTTTGATAATATCATCATAATATCATCTGGTTTCTGATTAGACAGGGTGTTTTCTTATATACTGTATGTCTAATCACACATACACATACAATCTACAAAACAAGTTGTTTTGTTTTGTGATTTAAAACATTTATAATAGATGTTAAAGATATAAATTGATTATTATTGCCACTGACCTCCAGTGAGCACTATAATGATAAGATCACAGGCCTGTTTCATTACAGCCTCCACTTCACTGTCCTCAGCATTTAAATCTCCAGCCTCATGTTTCTGCATCAGCTGCTCCAAGCGAGTACACACAAGTTGCACTCCATTCTCGTTTGCTAGTAAAGTTTTTACCAAATCTGCAGAAACATAAAATATTTAACAATGACAGACATATAAGTATAGTATTGCAATGTAATTCAATTTGAACTTATACCCACATATTCCAATTTAGTTAAGTAAGTTACAAATCTATAAAATATTAAGAATAACTAAAAATTATTGGTCATACCTTGATCAAATTTATATGGGACCACATAAGCACCAGCTTTCAAATAAAAAAAAGAATTACCGAAATCAGTTCACCCATAAAAAGGTATAAGGTAACACACATAAAAAAAGACATAAAGCCAAATTCAGTACCTCTTACTTTTTAAAGTCAGTAGAGAATCAATTGCTGTTCGTTACTCTCACTAAAACTCGAAAATGTAGACTGATTTTGATGAAATTTTTTGTGTATTGTTGAGTAGGTTGCTGGATGGTTTAGATTTACTATTGGACCTGGTAGGTAGTGTTGTTGTCGAGACAGATATCACACATGCGAAGCCGGGGCGGATCGCTTGTACAATATATATATACTTTTATAGTATAAGGGTTAGAAACGAGCACACAGTCCACCTGATGGTAAGTGGTTGCTGTGGCCCAGACATCTACATCTATCTTTGTTTATTAATCAAAGTGCAGATGCATTGTCAACCGTGAGGATAAGATGGAATGCCTCATTTCCAGTAAAAGGGGTATCCGGTTCTCTACACTCACCATATGAAATACAGCAGCGTGAAGCCGCTATTTTACGCTGGTATACTGTGAGAGTGTGGTCTTTTCCCAGGTCGAGCCGACCCATGTGTGCAACAAATATACCAGTAATATAACTGCATCATGGCTCTACCGCATAAAAAATAGTATATTACATATTATATATATGTGTCCAGATATTTAGTAAGATGGTACTGCTGAACATAGGCTTCCCTTTATAGATTGCCTCATAGGGAGGAAAGTTTTCATAGCTGCCACATTTGGCATCCACAGTTTTTTATTTTTAGTTTTTATAAGGAAGACACTGCTCCCCATCTCCTGATTTATTTCCCTCTGTCGCCTCTTACGACACCTAGAGATGTTATGGGGTAGTGAATACACTTAGACCACCACTACACAGTACATATATAACAGATAAATAATATATAAAAAACAAATAAATAAAATAGTAAAGCAGCTATTGCCTTAAAATACTTGCCGTGTTCTGCTTGCATATGTAAGTGTTCTAAACATAATTCCGATACCTCAATATTAGTTGTATCCTTTAAAACATCTAGCACAGTTTTATTAACATCAGAATCAAATAGAAACTCAGGCGCATTGTCATTAATTACACTTAAAATAAGCAAAGCAGTTATAACCGAGTCATCATTGATATCATCTTTTTCCATTTCAGATAGTAATATTTTCTTTTGCTTCTCTATGACACCTCCTTCAACAATTGACTCTGAAAACTGATGTCCACCTATGGCATAGTTTAACAATGTTTTACTAGCGAGAAGTCTAATTTCTTCTAACAAGTGATCTTTCAAAGCACTTTCAAGTACATTAGCAAGTACTGAAACACCATGGTTTTCCAAGATAATTTTTCTGGATGTATCACAATCGCAGCATAAATTCCCAAGAGCTCTGCAACACTGCTTGATAAGTTCAATGGAATCTGAATTTATTTCCTTACTTAATATGTTAATTATTGGTAGAATTATATCTTTTTTGGCGTAAATTTCTCTTTTCATTTCACATTTTGCTAGCTCTGAAATAGCTTGCACGCACAACAATACAATGGTCTGATCGCTGTTATTTATTAGGGATTTTAGACAGGATGAAACATCGTATTCGTAATTCTTGCCGACAGATATTATTTCATTTAATTTATCTTTTAAGCCATTAACATTGGTAATATTCTGAATTACTAAAGTCTCAAAAGAGGCAGATTTCTTGGCCGATGTACCTATAAGATATAAAAAGCATAAATAACGATAAATTTCATTAAAAATATAATAATAAATAATCAATACATACCATCCATGTTTTTATGAAAAAGAGCAATGGGAAAATTATTATAGAATAGAATTATGCATTAATGTTTGAAAATAATATTAGATATTTATGCAAGTTTTTCCTACAGAAAGAAACAATTTACAATTACCATTATCAATCACAGATTATTTTTGACACTGACACATGTCATGTCACATGCCCATTATGTAAAGTGATGTGAAATAAGTGTGGCGAATGGCGTATAACATAATCATACTGGTTAGATGCTGGCCTGGTACTTGTACTTCAATACTAGATAGATCGCGCCAACCTGTTTCATAGGATTGAGTATTGAGTACACCGATTATTAATTTCGTAAGTAAAGGTAGAAAAATACTTATGCAACGCTATTCTACATGGTAAAACGCAAGGCATGTTTAGTGAAACTTATAATACCATAATTAGCGGTAGACATAGTCGTCAATGAACAGCTTTTTAAAAAAATCGCACATCTCAAAAAAATAATTTAAATACTATTTTAACACAACAGGCCAATGGCAATTTTGTGGTTTGAGGGTATCATTCGAAAGGTAATTAGCTTTCAGGAATTTTAATTGAATTTTACTTTTATAACGAGACGAAAGAGAAATTAAAGAAAAAGACAGGGTATGTACAAATTTGCAAATTAATAATTTTAAAAAAACTTAATAAATACAAAAAAAGTTCTTAAAACCTAGTGTTACCCCCCCCCCCTTGCCTTAATAACGGCTTCCATGCGATCTTTCATGGACCTTACAAGGGTCGCAACAGCCTCTTGGGGTATTTGTTCCCACTCTTCAAGTACCGCATCTTGGAGCTCTTGAAGAGTGGTTGGAGCTGGATCTCGAGCTCGCACGCGCCGTTTTAGGTCATCCCAGAGATGTTCTATTGGGTTAAGGTCTGGACTTCGTGCTGGCCAATGCATAACAGGGATATCGACCTCCTGTAAATAATCCCGTACAATAGCCGCGGTGTAGCAACGAGCATTATCATGCATTAACATGAATCCATCACCGACATAACCAGCATACGGGACCACATGTTCCTCCAGGATTTCAGTAATGTACCGACCAGCATTTAATGACCCTTGCCCACGGCCACCCCGAGTCCGGGAAACGCACACAAGTTCCGTTTCCCGTCGACGGAAATGCCGCCCCAAAACATACACGAGCCACCCTCGTATTCGACGGATTCTTCGAAGCAGGGTTGTGTGAACCTCTCCCCTGTTTTCTGTAGACCCTTCTACGTCTATCATTGCAGAAGACACAGACCCTCGTCTCATCAGAGAAGAGTACGGTCCGCCAATGTTCTAGAGTCCACTCGCAATGATTGCGAGCAAACTCTAGGCGAACTCTGCGATGCTGTGCAGTAAGTTTTGGACCTTTAGCAGGTCTATGGGCTGTTAGACTCTTTTCGTGTAACCTTCTTCTAATCGTAGAAACACTCACAGATGTTCTCCGAGTTGATCGAAGCTGTTGTTGCAACTCAACAGCATTTGTAAAACGGTTTCGTTAAGATGTCGTAACGATGAAACGGTCATCTCTTTCTGATGTGCACCGTTTTCTTCCAGATCCCGGTTTTCTAACATAACCACCAGTCTGAACTGAAAAACGGGACAGGTTCAACTGTCGAGCAACGTCACACTGCCGCATCCCGACTGCAATAGGGCAATCACTTGAGCGGCTTCTTCAGAGCTGGTGTCCATCTTTACTTGTTCTTACTTGGGTTACTTGTTCACATGTGTTCACTGCAAAGTCTAAATTACGACTGACCCATATTTCATCCAGATCGACCCTTTTATACCCTTTTTAGGTGGTGTAACTAGCGTCCTTACTAACGAGAATTTGACAGTGTTTATTTTTGACGCTCTATAATGATAAATGTTTTAATGATTTCATGATTTTTTTATTAATAATGTAAAGCTATTCAAATACCCATTTCAAACATACCAATATTTATATAAATATAATTTGTTTCTAGCCATTACAGCCATTTTTCGCGCAAACTCAGAGGTGCGATTTTTGTGACGCTGAGTGTATTAAAATAAACTAACTTTATTAATTTCTTATTCTTACGCGAACACTTTTTCGTATTTTTTCGAGTTTAATTAACTTTCTTTATATATAATCAATTTTTCTATAAACTATTAAAAAAAACAACTTTTCAAACCAGTGATCTGTATCTTATATATAAAAATTTACTTTTGTTTCTTCCTATTTTAAGCATTGCCAACCGTTCATCAGATTGCGCTAAAACTTTATCAACTTATTGCTTGCACTTGTGCGAAGATTATAGTCCAATTAACTTAAAGTATGTGTCGCGCGTGTCGTGCCGATAAATTTGTTAGAACGTTATTATATATCATTTAACTTCAATAAATGTATTATCATTTCCAATTAAACAATAATAAAACGATATTTCCGTAATAATTTCTTTTGCTGCAGCATCGCGCCAGGTTGCTGCTAGTATCGAATAAAAATATCTACTCGAAGTACATAAATACTTTAATCATCATATTAGTCTGTGACTTTAATACTAAGTGATACTCAGATATTCACATTCGTAGCCACTCGTAGCGACTTATACTTGACATACTCGAAGTAGGCATAGATATTCATACCTATAATTATACATTATATAAAATGAACTTCAGGCGCAGGTATGTATGTACCAACTTAGAGTAATTATTATTTTACTTACAAGAATTACCGAAAAATTATTCTTAAAGAAGCGGTAAAAAGATTAAAAGAAATAGTTAGTGCACGAAACTGAATAACTTTAAAAATTTACTGAATTTTTACCCTGATAGTTCTAAAATAATTGAAAAATATACAAATAACATGTTCCCGGGAATAACCCACTGGTACTTAATTAGCACCTAAAAAGCCCCTAATTTGGACTTTTTCTGAAAGGAATTTTGATTATATTTTGATTTTCAGAAAATCTGCATTTTGCATCTGCTATGTTCTGAATAACGACTTTATTTTTATTAGAGGCACCTTGTTATTGCGTATAATTGCAGCACCTAATTAGCACTTAATTCCTTGCTATTAATATTTATCGTATATCTAATAACTTCATTGCGTTGCTAGCGAGACGTTTTGCTAGCAACGCAAATTTCAACAGTTCGTTGCGGTGAAAATTTTGGAGCACCTAATTTTTAAACTTGGCACCTAAAAAGCCCCTAATTTTGGATTTTTCCAAATGCAAATTCCCGACTTTGCGTTACTGGCGATACACAACTGTATATAATGGCTCCTTTATTTTTCATATAACTATTACTGGTAATATTTACAAACATTAAATAATGAATAATTAAATACATTATATAAATTATTTTTAACATTCGATTTAAATTTATTATCATTTTAGCTGCATGAATTTAAAAACATAATGATATTACACAGACTAGCCAAAACGCAGGATATATTAAAGTGTACCAGGTGTCTGAGCACAAACTAATAAGAAGTTGTGTCTGAGGACACAGATGCAGATGCACTGTCTATTCTCGGTATGTTAAGAAGACGGTCACCCATCCATGGACTTACTGCGACAAGTGCAGCTTAATCTCGCAGATCTATTGATCCGCGCAGCCGTTAATTCACCAAGAGTTCCTTTTCTCTTCGACTAACGCTGTAAGTGATGAAGCACGCTATCAAGCCCTTGGCACACTGTCGTCGACCAACAAGCATAAATCGGCCATTGGGCGTTGTGAATAGCAAATACCATGGAATTTGTACTATCCTGGCACATTGAACCGCATGTCTTCTGCGCGGGCATCTAGCGACGCTTCAAGAGCATTACTAAATATCTATACCTAAGTACACTAAAAGTTTTATCATTGTGACTTGGAAATATAATCCGAAGCTCCGCTGAATACCTTGGGGAATATAGCGTGATACTATGAATATTGTACTAGTGTGACCGTGAGGTGTGGGTGATTAAGTAAGGTTATACATTTTTTTTTATTGTTAAATAGATACTTAATTGAGTTCATAATGGCTAAAATAGGATAATATCAAGATTTTTTTATCTTTAATGTTAATTAGTAATAAAAAATAGTTTTATAATGTATAAAAATCTATTTATATTTTAATCTAAAGATATTGAAGTAAAATCTTTGAAGTCTTACTTGGTATAATAATCTGGGGGCACGGCAGTGCCCTCGCAAAGTCGAGCAAAAAAGCGGCACGGCCGTACCATCCTTTTCTCGAAGCAGTTCAGGCCATTTTCGAAACCCTATAACTTCGTTGGGGATAAAACTAGAAGCCTGAATTTTCAGTAACCAAGTAGGGATTGTATAAACTCAGTATATTTCAAATTTCATCAAATTTGAACTTACTTTAAGAATTAGAACTAGTCAAAGTTTCTTAATTTTGTCACTCACTAAAAAAAATGACTTGGCAATCGCACTAAACAATCTAATTTAATATAATATGTATTACTTGAGAGATACATTGCGTTTTCATGCGATGGCCAAGTCAATCTATTTATTTAAAACATAAAAGATTTTTAATATTGATATGGTTACTATAAGATGTTGTTAGGTTAGCTAATTACGTAATAACTTAAGAGAGAAGGACCCTTAAGTAAGGACTGAATAAATTAACCGACTTGGTATAACATGGATCTCATAACTTTTTACGGTAGAAGAACTGAGTTGCGAGACTTGGTTTTTTTACAAGTTATGTTTTTGATGGCATATTATACTTACTGGTACAAATCATGTAGAAATGGCACCTTTTAGTAAAATTGTTTTTATTCTACTTTTTATTTTAATATACTTCTCAAGAAAATGTTCGCTGTAAATTGTTACGACGACACCGCGAGAAAATGCACCTCCTTTCATTGAATAGTATAGGATTATGACACGACTAACGAAACAGGAATTTTTGATATAGGTAAATCAAAACGTCTTTATCTTGAATTTGCTTGTTCAAAAACACGATTCTATAATGTTGACTCGATCATAATTATTTGCGAAAACACCTCTAAAATCACTATAGTTGA